GCAGCAGTAGAACCTTCTCTCGCCGTGTCTCTATGCAGCATCGTGTGCGGGTGAAACTTTGGATATTTAAATTTAAAAAAAAAACAACTATAAATTATTTACAGACTTGCATGAACAAAGTATGATCAAATATAACAAAACAGAATACGTCTCAATATTTTTTTCAAAATTTTTTGGAAACTTTACCAATACGCCGTTCCTGAATGGCTTTACGAGAATACAACAATGAAACATTATTCATTAATATTTACAATAAATGTGTCTACGTAGTGGCCATGTATTGATAAAAATTTAGTAAAACTTTGTGTAATTTATTCGCTTCTATAATTCTTGGTTAAAAATTAATTAATTTTAAAACAGCAGAAATTGTTTTATTTTATTAGCATCTTCCTTTTGACATACTAGCATAATGTTTAGTATCAACTTGTATAACATTATTTACACATTTTGGACTTGTTAGTATTAAGAGCTAGAACGTTCAGTGTAATATATTACGTTATTTCCTCAATCAATTTGAGATCACTTGACTTTAGTTTCTGACTCGAAGGCCTGGCATCTGAGTTCTCCATCGTGTAAGTCCAAGATCTGTTGCTGCCAGAAATATAAACAAATGTCGATGTTTAAACATAACATTTTATAAATAAATAAACAGACAAGATTTTCTAATTTCAACTGAGCTGTCCACTTTAAGTCAATTGAAATTACTGAAGCAAATTAGTTTTGAAATTAGCTTACCAGTGTTAAAAAACCGACAACTTTACTGTTTTAGTATCTGACGTGAAATCAGTAGTGTAAAACACCGACAGCTTTAATCTGTCCATTAATCCGGTTAGTGTTAAAAAAAACAAGAGATGCTCTGTGTTATAGGTTCCACCCGACTTGCTACCTTTGATGTAACTTGGCAACCGGTGCCCATTGAAGTGTTGGTTGTTAGAAATGTTAAGAAAATATTTGTAATCTCTACAGATACTACAATGTCTTCTTTGTTAACAGAGATTCGACTACAATTAGAGACACGCATACACACACACGCAGGCTTATATACACACACACGCACCAATAATCAAACACACACACACCATTATACACACACGCGCACCAATACTGAAACACACACACACATACGACACGCCTAGACAGACGACTAATTCATGTGAGAAATGTATGGGGAAGATGTGACAATTATTCGCACAAAGAACCTTTGACACATCCTAACTGGATGATGAACGGGGTCTACAACTTACCTGTAGCTACCTGCTGACTGTGACCACATCTCTATTCACCTGTCTGTATAGAGCTTAATAAAAAACACTCGGTAAATACGTAATGCCTGTAGATTGCTCGTTGTTTCTTATTGTGTTTGTGATTTTTGTACAATGTGCGGTCTCTCTCTAGCATCCACCTTGACCTTCAGCGATTCTATGAGAAATAACCTTGACATTTCTTATGTCAGGTAACCAATGGAAGGTATGACAAACGCAGGGCACATATTAGGTGTGACATATAACAAATGTCCAGTATGTAATTTGTTATGCAAAATATTTAGTATGTAGTCATGTTATGCAAACTATCAAGTATGTAATTTGTTATGCAAAATATTCAGTATGTAATTTGTTATGCAAAATATTTAGTATGTAGTCATGTTATGCAAACTATCAAGTATGTAATTTGTTATGCAAAATATCCAGTATGTAATTTGTTATGCAAAATATTTAGTATGTAATTTGTTATGCAAAATATCTAGTATGTAGTCTTGTTATGCTTTGTATTTAAATTTACGTTTATCGTTTTACGTCATTTGTTATGCGAAATATCTAGTATGGAGTCTTGTTATGCAAAATATCCAGTATGTAATTTGTTATGCAAAATATCTAGTATGTAGTCTTGTTATGCTTTGTATTTAAACTTACGTTTATCGTTTTACGTCATTCGACAGTCCATACGTGTATGCCATTTTTAGATTTAATGTTTTTAAATTCTTTAGATCAGTTAAAATAATACATTATTCAACACATCTCTAATGTGATAGCTAAACTTAAGAAAGGTAAAGTTAGAGTGCCCCATGTGTTTTGTGCACAAACGGTAATAGATGAAAGCCATAGTAATGGATTATAGATGAATGTTGATGTTATATGTAAAATTTAATTTCGTTTTCCATAGTAAAATTAACTTTCTTTAATAAAAATAAAATAAAAATAAAAATCGAAGCTTATTTTATAGAGTTGGGTTTATGTATTGTTCTGGGTTCAAGATTTCAAATTGGGCTTAAGGTTAGTTTATAAATGGATGCTTTAATAAATGGAGATGAAGTTTTTAGCTGACTTGAAAGGATTAAGTTTAGGGTTATAGTGAGGATTATAAATGTATGTTAAGGCTCATGTTAAATCTCATATAAAGTTTTGATGTTTCGTGTTTAGATTTGTGTTTAGGAGTTTAACTCAATTTAATACACGTGTGATAATTTGTTGATCAATACGAAATGTTTTTTACGTCACTCAAGATGCTTTTACGTCATACAAATGCCTACTAGGTCACAGGTGACTTCCTATTCACGGATAGCCTAATCTGTAAAATTTCAGCCCCCCCCCCCACCCCATCCCAGATGAGGGATGTAAGTTATATAGCTAGTTGCATGAATTCGGTCCATATATCTGGAAAAATATTAACCAAAACCTTTTTAACAATAATCGTAGGTTAATTTACATTGGGTCATTATACTGGCAAATACCATCCGAATCATGCCACGTAATGGGAGGCCACTCTAACACATTCTCTCTTTCTATTCTTAGTGCCTACACATTATTTTAGACGACAGCGTCACAATTATACCGACAAATTGCAATAAAAAATGATTAAATAGTCCATGATATTTAGAAATACGAATACACTACTTCTCTATAATATTTTTTAAAAAAATGTTAACCATCTTTATTTTTTCTGCATGGAAAGTTCTTCCAAGAAGATAAATATTGTTTCCCCACTCCCAATATCAAACCTCCAACGATCCAAAAATAGACTTCAACAGTATTTGCATTCTGGTTTTAATTCTAATATATTATTATTTTCAAAGAAACATAATATAATAAATAGTCTTTAATAAGCTCTAAACGCCAACAAAACTACTGTTTAGGATAATCAATTACATCGAGAGTTATTAAAGCAGACTCTAAAATTGTTAGTTTGCTATTTTTTTTAAATGTAAAACAATAAACATAACGTCAAACACATCACCGTTTATGCTCTAATTCACTCGTTTACTGTCTAAACAGTTTAACAGACGTACATTCGGACAAAATTTTTTACATGAACAGAATAATAGCCCAATAATAATCTAACAAGTAATGCATTACAAATAATTCCAAAAGCTTATGTAACAATAAAGAAATGACTGAAGCAAACTTGCACAATAAAATCACCAATTATTGTTTTACTGGTGTCACCCCCCCCCCTACACCCACTTTCACACTCAGCTACTGTTGAGTGGGGATTTAGCAGCATTGATAAGTGTTTCTTCCAGACTTTTTACTCCGGGTGGCACTTGAAATTTTTTTTTGGGGGGGGGGGGGGCGGACACTGTTAAAAGTATATATTTTCTATATAAATTCCATTTCGTTTGGGGGGGGGGAGGGCGGGAGAGGGCATAGATGCCAGGAAGAAATTCTTATTGATAAGTTACGTAGTTGTCAATCATCCAATAAAATGTTAATTTGCATATTTCCAATGTGGTATCACCCCAACCACCTCGGTTTATTATTTTTTTATTAGTACATTCTTTGTCCGTGAAAGTTGTTTTACCAGACTCCTACCCTTTGGTCTTATAGCGTCTATTCGTGAACACATCATATTATTCCACCTATATATTTAAGTTAAGTGAAGAAAAGAATTGTTTTCATAATAAATTTTTAGAGGTTGTGTAACCCCATCGTGGCCACTGATTGACGATCAGTTTTTGAAAAAAATCAACGTCACATTTTTTTGACCTTTTGTAAATTTTGCAGTTGGTGTCATCCTCCCCCCCCCCCCCGGGGGGGATTTAGCTTTAATTTATCCACACTTAATAGTAAAGATGTTGATCTCAAGTCGGTTATAAAGTCGGCTACAGCTGCATGTAACGTTGTTTTCTCTATACTTTAAGCACGTTTAAGTCATGGTGCTACCCCATGGAGGGACTGGTCACTTGGTGCACCGTCTAATCTGAATGAGTGGACTGGACAACTCACACAATTTTATTTGGTTTTTGAGAAAAATGAAAAAAAAAATCGATAATAGTTTTCTCATGGGGTAATGGCCACAGCGGGTGTAGTGACTTTTACCACATCCCTACACACTACATCTGCCCACTCCCACTTCACCAAACGCTACACGTGACCACTACCACATCACCAGTTCTGTCCACAACCACATGACCATATCTGAGCACAACCACATCACCACACACTACACTTGTCCACTACCACGTCACCACACGTCCCATCTAACCATCACCACACACCACATCAGTCCACAACCACATCACCACACGCCCGATCTAACCATCACCACACACCACATCAGTCCACAACCACATCACCACACACCACATCAGTCCACAACCACATCACCACACACCACATCAGTCCACAACCACATCACCACACACCACATCAGTCCACAACCACATCACCACACACCACATCAGTCCACAACCACATCACCACACACCACATCAGTCCACAACCACATCACCACACACCACATCAGTCCACAACCACATCACCACACGCCCGATCTAACCATCACCACACACCACATCACTCCACAACCACATCACCACACACCACATCAGTCCACAACCACATCACCACACGCCACATCTGAGCACAACCACATCACAACACGCCCGATCTAACCATCACCACATCACCACACGCCCGATCTAACCATCACCACACACCACATCAGTCCACAACCACATAACCACACACCACATCAGTCCACAACCACATCACCACACACTACATCTGTCCACAACCACATCACCACACACTACACTTGTCCACTGGATTCATGTAAGACCCAACTGGACAGTTGAACTCTTTAGAAAACTCGGGGAAATTTTGTGCTGGTCCGTTGGCCCTGGGTAAAAAATAATCACAAACTTTTAATTTCAAAGGTTTCAAATGGTATATACTGGTATACATTCACAGTCACACACATACACACAAATAAATGCACACACATGCACGATTGCCAACTGACCTGAATATCGAGAGACTGTGAACGTCGTAGTTCATTAGAAGAATTGTTTGGGCGTCTGTGTTGGTCTGGCACCAGGTCTGTAGGGGGGGGGGGGGGGGGGGGGGGGAGGGGAGAAGTTAAGAATGGTATTATAATACATTTCTCAAAGTTTTAGTCCGGCTCCTAATCAATGTGACTACCATCAAATTACTATCGCTGTAGATGTGAACGACTGGTCAATCCAAAGCTTTTTCTGATCTACCGATTACACAAACACGGCCTGAACATGTACCAATAAAAACAAAGTTTTCTCCCATACCTGAGCCTGACTGATGAAGTACAGCTGGTTGTTGGTAAAGTTTAACCCCGGCAATCTTGGCTCTTCTCTCCCTTGTTTCGTCACCCAGTTCCTATAGGCCTGCAGGGGACAGAATGTAGCACTTATGTGTATATATATATATATATATATATATATATATATATATATATATATATATATATATATATATATATATATATATATATACATACATATATACATATATATATATATTATATATATATATATTTATTTATTTATTTATTTATTTATTTATTTATTTATTTATTTATTTATTTATTTATTTATTTATTTATTTATTTATTTATTTATTTATTTATTTATTTATTTATTTATTTAGTTATTTAGTTATTTATTTATTTATTTATTTATTTATTTATTTATTTATTTATTTATACGTAAAGGCTAAAAGTTAATATGAAGGAAAATGCTTAAATGCTTAAATGATTTATTATGAAAGATCAGTTGTTTTTTTTTAAATACAGATATTTAAACAAGTAGCGTCTCCTCTAACTTATAGAGTCTAGTGAGTGGACGAGTTCCGTCCAGCAGACAGTGACGTATTACCCGGTATGAATGTTTGATGCCTCCATTGTCTGCGATGTTCTCTCCCTGTGTCGTCACGCCATTGACCTGAGAGGGGGGGGGGGGGAGATTTTTTTTTATTACACAAAGTTTGATCAAGAGTTCTCTTTCCTCGTAGTATTATACTAGACTACCCGTCATCCGTTGGATAACTGTGGGTTTCGGGGGTCATCCATCAAAAAACATCACGTCTGTCACTCAGAGGCGTAGCGACCCTTCCCGGCGCCCGGGGACAAACTTTTCGATTTGAACCCCCCCCCCCCTCCCCCCCCGCAAGATTTCGATTTGCAACCCCCCCCCCCCTCAAACTTGATGTGCACCCACCCCCCTCAAGATTTCGATTTGCACCCCCCCCCCCTCAACCTTTCAATTTATTTTTCCATTTTGGCGCCCTCTAAGGTCGGCGCCCGGGGACATATGCCCCCCCCCCCCCCCCCTCGCTACGCTACTGCAGTGTCACTTATCGTCACAAAAAACAGACCCCATATTCAAAAATATGTTTTTTTTTATCTTTTAAAAACACCGAAAACACCGATTTCGGACTATCCCTTCATATACTGACGTCACAGGTGACCTACTCAACTCTACTTCACCTGCCCAGTGTCCCGCCAAGTCGCAGACAACATGTTTTTATCGGTTTAAAAACGATTCCAGCCGAGCATGTCTCTGACCACACTATCCCTTCATATGCTTAGGACAAAGAAAAAGATGAACTCTACTTCACCTGCCCTGTATCCCGCCAAGTTCAGATAGGCAACTTTATCATTCACATCTAAAAAAGTTAAAAAATAAATTGAAAAAAAAAATCATCATTGACGTATTGGTCTAGAACCTGTGCAACCCGCATGAGAGCCGAATACACTAACAACTTAGCTATTTAGTCGTAACGTCACAGATTAATTTTTATACTATACTTTAATACTTTGAGTCTCCTTATGCAACTTGAGTTACGCGCATAGATCTAGATCTAAGTCTAGAGTAGTAGTAACTTTCAAATTAAATTTTATCTTAAAATAGCCAAACAAAGATTTATATAAAATAAAGAAGGTCTGAAATTATCTAGATCTAGATCTAGATTCTACGACTCGTTTGCATAAGTCTAGAATCTAGTAGATCTAGATCTATTTGCGTAACTCTTGCTAGATCTAGGTCTAGATCTAGAATCTAGAAATTCTAGATCTAGAATCTAGAATCTAGATAGGTATATCACAAAGATTTATATCAAGTATTTAAGGACTAAAAATGTATTATGATTATAAAATGGATTGTATTTTTATTTACTTAATCTTTGGTATGTATCTAATTAATCTTTTGTTTGACCTAGATTCTAGATCTAGATATATAAATAACTTGCTTTGCCACATGATAGATCTATAAATAACTGTCTTGGTCAGATTGTAGAGAAATTTATTGTAAAACTAAATGAAAAAGACAGTTAAAAATTTATATAGGTGTTGGAACGTAATAAAAACAGCAAACGGACGTATTGTTAAAGTTGTGGCCGACAGAAAATTAGATTTAGAAGGCGTTAAACTTTTGAATGGGCCTATGATGGAAGCCGCCATTTCATTGTTATGAAAAGTAAACAAAAAATGTGACGTCACTGTTTCGTCGACTCTAGTGGTTTTTCTAATCTTTTAAAAAAAATGTGGTTAATCTACCTATGAATAAATCAATAAATTAATTAAGGTCTTTAAATAAATTTGTTATTAACAGTCTGTCTTAAAACAAAAATTGTTCTCTACCTACATACTATTTTACAGCTCTCCACGATGAGTAGAACCATTTGATATAGTAAATCAGACAAACAAATAAATATTCAAACATGTAAACAAACTTGAGTTTTAGTAGTATATAGATAGATTATAACACGCTGTTACTTAATCCCTCCCCATTTTTTTTCATCCGTTAGATGGTTTGTATTCTACTGCATCACTGGTGATGCTTTTTAAAAACGTTTCTAGCGATGGGAAAATAAAGTTTTATTAATTAAAAGATATCGGCATTTTATATTGTGAAGTAGAACGCTGTACACTTCATGTAAGAAACGGCCTTTCAATAATCTTTTCACAGAGCAATAACTGTAGATAAAACAAAATCTGATATAGCATTAGACTAAATGTCTTTAAAACAGACATTCATTAATCTTTATAGAAAATGATTCAATAAAAACAAAATACTGTATCAGAAAAGAAACCTGCAGTGGGTCATTATAGATGATTTTTATCTATTATATTTTAACAACGGCTCTATAGTAAAAAATGGAGCTGTATCTAATTTTGTATCAATGTTCTCACGTGATAAGTCTTAGCCAGTGCTTGTATAGTGTAGTTCCCATACTGATTGATAAGACATTCCTTTTTTCGATTGAATGCCTCCAGAGTTTCAGTCGACCACCAATTCTCTACGTCACCGTATTTGTTCATCTCCCTACCTGTCAGAGGGGGCAGTTATATACAGGACGACCATTAAACAACAAAATTACCAGTCATTCAGAATGTAAATAGCTAAATAAAAAATAATATTAAAAAATATAAATAATTAAAATAGATAATAAATACCAATTTGAAGTAAACTTTAACGTAACTAGTTCTAAATCTTAAAGGCTATTTATTTGGAAAAATGAAAACCAAATAAATAAAATGTGAGCAAGCTATGCATCTTTGTGAGACCGTTAAATCTACCTTGATCATCGAATCCATGAGTTATTTCGTGAGCAATGAACATGCCGATTACTCCATAATTCAAATACCTGGTTGTTTGATCATATAGCATAGTTATATTATAATCTCTCTCTCTGTATATATATATATATATATATATATATATATATATATATATATATATATATATATATATATATATATATATATATATATATGTATATATATATACATATATACATATATATATATATATATACATAGACACGTTATATATATATATATATATATATATATATATATATATATATATATATATATATATATATGTATGTATATATATATATATATATATATATATATATATATATATATATATATATATATATATATATATATGATGTAGAAGCAGAACAAATAAAATTTAGACATATAGAGTAATTTATGTACCCATGTTTAGATCCCTTACCTACACTAAATTGTTGCCAGTTTTAGGAAAACTTGTGATTGTAAACATTTGAACTTACATTGGATACGACTTTTTAAATAGTGGCGGCAACAAAATCCCAGTCATTATAGCTAGAACAAAATGAAATTAATTCTAATTGATAATTTATTAAACCATTTTGGTTTATGGGAATCTTTATATATAAATTTATATATATATATAATATATATATATATATATATATATATATATATATATATATATATATATATATATATATATATCGATGGTCTCGGTCGCAAACCGTCTAACTCAAAAAAATTCGATTTTCTTTTTTTTACATAAATCAAAAGCCAGTATGAGTCCCCCATAATGCCTGAAAATATTAGAGAAATCTGTAGAATGATTATTGATATATCATTTGAACAAACCGCCTATTATTTCAAGCGCTAAAAATCTCGGCGCAAAACGAATATCGCTATATTTGTCAGTACACTTTTGATCGGGAACGCAGTCGCACGCCGCAATCACACAATTTTACAGCACAACAGTCACAGTACTTATAGGTAAGGATATTTGATTAATTATGTTCAGATATTCTATTACATTTTATCATTTTAAAGAATAATAAACAAATAGTATTTGTTTAATATAGCCTATTTCCAGATTTCCAATAACCAAACTGATTTGTTTACAATTTTTAGGCTAAAAGAATGCTTTGAAACTAGATCTTCATTCTAGAATCTAAATATCAATCAAAACAATATTATTCGAATTATATTTCCACAAGATTGTGCAATAAATTTAATTACTGTTAATTCACTACTAGCTTTAGATTGAGGGTTCAGCTACGTGTTAAGAAATATTTATATGGTAGGTTACAAAATGTTTTGCGTACATGTTCAACGAGCTGGTTAGTTGTCTTTAGAAAAGCTTTTATGATTAATTTTTCAACAGACAAGCCTACCTCAACACACCAGATTCTCTCAACAGATTAGCCTCTCTCAACACACCAGCCTCTCTCAACACACAAGTCTTAGAACATAACAGACCAGCCTCTCTGAACAGACCAGCCTCTCAACATATCAGCCTCTCTCAACAGATTAGCCTCTCTCAACAGACCAGCCTCTCTCAACAGACCAGCCTCTCTCAACAGACCAGCCTCTCTCAACAGACCAGCCTCTCTCAACAGACCAGCCTCTCTCAACAGACCAGCCTCTCTCAACAGACCAGCCTCTCAACAGACCAGCCTCTCTTAACAGATCAGCCTCTCTCAACATATCAGCATCTCTCAACAGACCAGCCTCTCAAAGACCAGCCTCTCTCAACATATCAGCCTCTCTCAACATACCAGCCTCTCTCAAAAGACCTGCCTCTCTCAACAGACCAGCCTCTCTCAACAGACCAGCCTCTCTCAACAGACCAGCCTCTCAACATATCAGCCTCTCTCAACACACCAGTCTTACCATACAAGACACCAGCATCTCTCAACAGACCAGCTTCTCTCAACAGACCAGCCTCTCTCAACAGACCAGCCTCTCTCAACAGACCAGCCTCTCAACATATCAGCCTCTCTCAACACACCAGTCTTACCATACAAGACACCAGCATCTCTCAACTGACCAATCTTAAAAGCACCAGCCTCTCTCAACAGACAAGCCTCTCTCAACAGACCAGCCTCTCTCAACAGACCAGCCTCTCTCAACAGACCAGCCTCTCTCAACAGACCAGCCTCTCTCAACAGACCAGCCTCTCTCAACAGACCAGCCTCTCTAAACAGACCAGCCTCTCTCAACAGATTAGCCTCTCCCAACAGACCAGATTCTCTCAACAGACCAGCCTCTCTCAACAGACCAGCCTCTCTCAACAGACCAGCCTCTCTCAACAGACCAGTCTTACCATACAAGACACCAGCATCTCTCAACTGACCAATCTTTAAGGAACCAGCATCTCTCAACTGACCAGCCTTTCACAACAGACCAGTATTAACATAGAAAAGACCAAACTCTCTTCAATGACCAATCTTACCATATAGGAAACTAGAATATCTCAACATAAATCTAACCCTCTAAGACACCAGCAACTCAACAGACCAGCCTCTCTCAACAGACCATTCTTACCATACAAGAGACCAGTCTCTCTCAGCAAACCAGTCGTAATATACAAAAGACCAAACTCTCTCAACACACCAGTCTTACCAAACAAGTCACCAGCCTTTCTCAACAGACCAGTTGTAACATACAATAGACCAGCCTCACATAACAGACAATAGACACCAGCCACCCTCAAAAAGACCAGTATTACCATACAAGAGACCAGCCGATCTCAAAAGACCAGTCAGACCTATCAAGAATTCAAAGCGACAGATATTCGTGCACTGCAGTACAAGCCTGATGCTACTGTCTACTTCAAAGTGAATTAGCAAATAGCTGGCAATTGCTAAGCTAGGGTCGTAAGATTATGATCTCATCTGTAGCCCCTGACAAGTTGTACAAGAGCAGAAAACAAAGATAAAAGCTGTCATATATGAGCACCTAAAAGCAAGTTATAAATTCACATTTTTGTGATGATTTGCCTGATTTTAAAAATATGTTGCCATTTTAATGTCTCTTCGTGTGACGTTTATTTAAAGAATAAATTTAAAAAATAAATACATTGTTTTTGTTACATTTTGTCAAAACATTAAGTCATTATTAATGTGATTAAAGTGTTATGTCTCATTCATAATATATCTGAAAATAAGGTATATATTTTTACTGTTGTCATTCTACAAACCCAGCACCCACTAGATTTAGTAAAATAAACTGTGAGAATAGAAAGATGTTATAAATAAAGCATAACCATCAACAGTTAATTAACAAGTCTAGTGCTAAATACAGCCATAATGAATAAACAGTCGAAAGCGATAAAGCAATATTAACACATCTCTACTAAAATTAAACTGACCTCATAAAGTAGAATAAACTCAAATAATTAAAATATGAGCCCAAAACTATAATCTAAATATTATGAACTGTTAATTATAACTTAAAAGCATAAACATAACTAAAACACGTTCATTGGACAAAACGAACGAACGCGGCTGAGACCGAAATTCTCGGATCAAAACAGCTAAGTCTGCGCGCGCACAGATAGACGGTTTGCACCGAGAATTTTAGACCGAGCAAACCGTCTATCTTTTAAAACCTGCTATAATTTTGTAAATATTAACCTAACTCATTTTAAAACGCTATAGTATAGTCGGTAGAGAGAGTCTTCGCAAATATGATTAAAAATAGTTTGTATTAAAGCGATCAACAAACAAATAATCAGTTTTTTTTGTCTCTCCTGTAAAATTTACATTTTTGGAGTTAGACGGTTTGCGACCGAGACCATCGATATATATATATATATATATATATATATATATATATATATATATATATATATATATATATATATATATATATATATATATATACAAATATATATATATATATATATATATATATATATATATATATATATATATATATATACAAATATATATATATATATATATATATATATATATATATATATATGTATGTGTTTATTTATATACATATAAGTACTCTAAAGCTATTCAAACAGACAAATTATAGTTATGTATTATGTATTATTACTGTATAATTACTATAAAACGTGTTTGAATGTTTAGATATGTGTCAATACTTTACCAAAACTTACTTACCAATGGTGTTTGAATCAGACAAATAACTTCCTTTAAGATCAATGGCACTGAAGGAGGAGCTTCAAATGTAAATAAAACGTTACAAAGATCTTTTGAAATGATTTAAGTTTATTTATTTTTATGTTACTGTTTTTTTTTAAATGTGAAAGCACATCAATAAATATTTTCACAATTTAGATGAGATTTTTTAATTCTCTCTCTGAAAGTTCTTCTTATTTTCAAAGATTTTTAAAAAAATATGAAGCAACATATATTTGTTTTTCAGCGAATTAAAGCGTAGATAATGAACTCACAGAACTGAGTTACCCCGCCATCTGAGGGTCCTCCAGTTGATGTACGAATACTCGACCCTAGCGTCAGCGAGGTTCTCCAGGAAAGTCGAGTTCTTGTAGGTAAACTAGGATAACAAAATATTCTTGTAGTTAAACTAGGACTTTTTACAGAGTAGGTCATGTTCTTGTAGGTAAACTAGGACATTTTTACAGAGTAGGTCATGTTCTTGTAGGTAAACTAGGACATTTTATATAGTAGGTCATGTTTTGATAGGTAAACTAGGACATTTTAAATAGTAGGTCATGTTTTGATAGGTAAACTAGGACAACACAGTTTAAAAGAGTAGGTCTTGTTCTTGTAGGTAAACTAGGACAACAAATCAAATAAACTAGGTCGCATTTTTTAATGTATACCCTAACGACAAATCTTAGTGGTTCGCGTTATTTAATGTAACTTAGGATAATATTTTTACAAAATAGGTAATGTTTTGCTTTTAAACTAAGAAAATAACTTTCAAAAAGTAGGTCAAGTTAGTCTAAGTAAACTAGGACACCTAGATTTACAAAGTAAATGAAGTTCGCGTATGTAAATTAGGTAAACAAATGCTAATATAGCGCAACACCACAACCAGTAGAAAAGATTACACGACTAATATTATTCTTATACGGAATATTTTTTATTAAATCCTTACGGGACGTCCATAAATGACGTCATACTGATATGACGGAAAGGGAGTCCGTAATATTGTGAAGGGGTATGATGAGAGGGAGGGGGAGGGCGGGGGGGGGGGGGTTAAGATAGTGTGACGTCACACATTTGCTTTATAAAAAAAGTAATGTTAGAAAACAAATTTTAGCCGTTATTTCACGTTTTCGATAACTGTTTTAATAAAATGTAATAAGGAATTGATTAAAATAATCTATGTTGACCGAGCTTAGACTAGGTTTTAATAAAAATTCAACTGCTGTTGTGTGATCTCATTTTAAGGGGGGGGGGTCTGGTTTTTTTGTGACGCAGGGTAGAGGGGAGGTAAAATTCGTTAAAAACAGCGTGACATCATTAATGGATGACCCCTTAATTCACGGACATAAAAAAATATACTTGACCGGGTAGTACAAACACTGTAAAACTTACGTTCATATACTTCATTTCAATGAATGTGTCGTTCATTAGCTCATCTGGGTAGCCAATGACAAACTTGATGAAGTCGTTCTAAAATATGTAAAGAAATAATTTAGATAGTTTAAGACATTGTATGTTGTTTAACTAAAACTAAACTCTAGCTATACAATATTTTTATCTCCAAAATACATCAACTGTTCCATTCTAAGGAAACACTTTAATATTACTCCACTATTTAACTACATGTGTTTTATTTCGTTCAAATTGCTTCGAAAACAATAACAAAAAATATATGCTACATGAGACAACATATGGCATGATAATTTATCAGAAATTATTTCAAACGAATGCACGAACCTTTTCTTTTGCACGTTGCCTAGTTTGTTCATCCATCCAACCAGCTTCATCGAGAACGTCTTGAAATGTGCTTTGAATATTTTTCCCCATAGTTAGAAGCTGTGAAATTAACACATACATTAGATGCAGAGGCGTAGCGATGGGGTGCAGGGGGGGGGGACATATGTCCTCGGGCGCTGACCTTAGGGGGCGCCAAAATGGGTTGTAAAAACAAATTAAAATGTCAATTTAGCTGCCATTTGTGCAGTATGAGGAGGGGGGTGGGTGGGTGCAAATCTAAAGTTTGAGGGGGGAGGGGGGGCGCCAAATTGAAAGTTTGTCCCCGGGCGCCGGGAAGGGTCGCTACGCCTCTGATTAGATGTAACATTAAAAATCAAACAATCAGAGCTAAGTGATGCTGATTACCTTTTATTCATCAGAGGGGCGGAACTTGTACTTTGTGATAATTTATTATTGTTAAAAATTGTGCGTAAATGTTTTTGTGTTTCTTTGTAAAGGAGTAATTTTTATTACCCACCATTTCCTTCATTTCATCATCAAAGTAATCCCTGACAAACATTTTGGCCAATGGCATGCCAATGAAGCTGTTGACTGTTGATACACAACCCTTGAAGACAGGTGGTCGAGTGGCTAGTCCTGTCATCACCTGCAATACATTGACAGTCCCTGCATCACCAATCAAAGATAATTAACGAGTTAGTAATACCTAAACAATACGAGTCAACCAGTCACAAGATGTAAGGCGATGTCTACAATCAGAGTTTCTTCCAGGCATCTCTTCGGGGGGGCAAAGCCCCCCCCCCCGAAATTTTTTTACCGCCCCCCCCCCGGAACGAAATGAAATTTATATAATTTATATAGAAAATATATACTTTTAACCGTGTCCGCCCCCCCCCCCCCCCCCGCAGAAAGTCTACCGCCCCCCCCCCGAAAATTTCAAGTGCCCCCCCCCCCCCCCCCCCGGAGAAAAAAGTCTGGAAGAAACACTGTCTACAATTACAGAAAACCTTTAATTTAATTAACAATGATTGTTTGTTTGCTATTCTGGTTGTGTGTTTGCTATTCTGTTTGTGTGTTTGCGACAACTCTGGAAATTCAATTTTGACCCACTTCTGATTTAGCTACAACTTTCCAGAAACGTTCGTCTAGAACATCAGTGTCAGAATATCTAATTTTTAATCTATTCATATATTAAATTAGTCATTATAAATCAATTAAATGACTTTTGTATTCTATAACACAAGCATCGATAGCAAGACCAAAAGCTCACTAAGGTCAACTAGTGCTTTATCATACACTGACAGGTTTTTAAGGCCTATTTTACTTTTCATTTACGAAATACTCAGTAAAGAAATATTCTTATCAATTTATCACTTTTAACATCACAGATCCTCGAGCGAACCTATAGCATTCTGTAAAATGATTTCACGCCCGCTAATACATCAGCAACATGTTAATACCAAATTTAATACGGCTATAAATGAATATGGTCGATAAATAATACCAAAATTGCGAGGGCGGCATGATAAAATGAGCTCACTTTTTGGTAATCGTAGTAGAGTGACAAGTACTTCTCTCCCATCAGCTTGTTTACAGAGAGCATGAATTTAAACAAAATGTAGTTTGCTATGGTTCTGAAAATATAGAGACACGTTTAAATGTTAGATAGTTGGTTTTGGACAAAATGTAGTTTGCTATGGTCCTGAAAATATAGAGACACGTTTAAACGTTATGCAGACAATTTGCTTTTGGACAATATGCGTTGACTTTTCTCTTTTGCAGTCACCATTTTAGTGTCTGGTTTAGCTCAGATAGATTATTCACCTTTTTGACGTCTGATTAGGTTGTGTACTCACTGTTTTGACGTCTGATTGAGTCGTGTACTCACCGTTTTGACGTCTGATTGAGTCGTGTACTCACCGTTTTGACGTCTGATTGAGACGTGTACTCACCGTTTTGACGTCTGATTGAGTCGTGTACTCACTGTTTTGACGTCTGATTGAGTCGTGTACTCACCGTTTTAACGTCTGATTGAGTCGTGTACTCACCGTTTTGACGTCTGATTGAGTCGTGTACTCACCGTTTTGACGTCTGATTGAGTCGTGTACTCACCGTTTTGACGTCTGATTGAGTCGTGTACTCACCGTTTTGACGTCTGATTGAGTCGTGTACTCACCGTTTTGACGTCTGATTGAGTCGTGTACTCACCGTTTTGACGTCTGATTTAGCACACCCACCAGCCTGTCAAAATATGCTGGCACATAGTTGTTGACCCTCTCACTCTCGTCAATGTCCGTGATGCCAATATGAGGGTCACTCAGCAAAGTTTGGAAGAAATGTGTCCAGTTCATTATCTAAAATATAAAATGTGTCCAGTTCATTATCTAAATTATATAATGTGTCCAGTTCATTATCTAAAATATATAATGTGTCCAGTTCATTATCTAAAATATATAATGTGTCCAGTTCATTATCTAAAATATAAAATGTGTCCAGTTCATTATCTAAATTATATAATGTGTCCAGTTCATTATCTAAAATATAAAATGTGTCCAGTTCATTATCTAAAATAAAAAATGTGTCCAGTTCATTATCTAAAATATAAAATGTGTCCAGTTCATTATCTAAAATATAAACATGTGTCCAGTTCATTATCTAAATTATATAATGTGTCCAGTTCATTATCTAAAATAAAAAATGTGTCCAGTTCATTATCTAAAATATAAACATGTGTCCAGTTCATTATCTAAAATAAAAAACGTGTCCAGTTCATTATCTAAAATATAAACATGTGTCCAGTTCATTATCTAAAATAAAAAATGTGTCCAGTTCATTATCTAAAATATAAACATGTGTCCAGTTCATTATCTAAAATAAAAAATGTGTCCAGTTCATTATCTAAAATATAAACATGTGTCCAGTTCATTATCTAAAATATAAAATGTGTCCAGTTCATTATCTAAAATAAAAAATGTGTCCAGTTCATTATCTAAAATATAAAATGTGTCCAGTTCATTATCTAAAATATAAACATGTGTCCAGTTCATTATCTAAATTATATAATGTGTCCAGTTCATTTTCTAAAATATAAAATGTGTCCAGTTCATTATCTAAAATATAAACATGTGTCCAGTTCATTATCTAAAATATATAATGTGTCCAGTTCATTATCTAAAATATATAATGTGTCCAGTTCATTATCTAAAATATATAATGTGTCCAGTTCATTATCTAAAATATATAATGTGTCCAGTTCATTATCTAAAATATAAAATGTGT